AGGGAGACACCGACTGGTTGCCTCCTGCATACTCCCCGGCCGCCGGGCGAAGATGAGCCTGCAATTGAAGTACATGCCCTTGACCAGAATCAAACCCGAGGCAACTTCAGTTCGCGGGCCAGCACTCTAACCACTGAGCCAAAGCGGCCAGGGCACTCCTTACATTTGGACGCAACTGTGTCAAAAAAACCTGTCCAAATGGCTATGTTAAAAATGAAGCTTGATTCAGATTTAGCTCTCTGCTAAGACTAAAAATGACAGTCTTTCCAATGCTTATCTACCTGATTTTGAGATCCTGAAAGTGGATATTTCTGGAAATTTTGCTGATTCAATAGTGAGCCAAAACTGGGATCATAAAGTTTGTCATTTACTTCTAAATGCATCAGTTTCCTAGTAATGTTGCTTTCCATAAGTAAACGGCTCTTTCATTAAAGTACACATCTCTGCAAAACTTTTAAATCTCATCACCTCTAAAGTAATTATGACTGGATCAAAAACACCTTTCCAAACTAAAGGTGTGCTTGTGTCTCTTCTTTGAAGAGAATATTACAGCTTCCAATAGATTTTCCCCCAACCTGTCCTTTAAAGAAGTATGTGTGGTTTCCGGCTGACATAATTGAAAAACTCTCTATCTAAAGTTCTTTTTTAATGCACTAGCTTACCCGCATGCTTGAAATCACCCTTCAAAAATGCTTCCACATAAAACAATATTATTTGGTTTCATGTTACATTTTCATAATATATCCTTCTGTTCAAATATGCAGTTCTAGACAGATCTAGAACATGATTTAGAATATGTAAGATCAAGAATATGTGGTCTGGAAAGGCAATATTAAAAATATTACCCTTTAAACATTAGGAGTAAAGTTATACCAATTCAGTGGTTTAAATAAGGCTTGTCAAGCCTTGATTTTGTGTGTCATAAAAATTTACAAGGTTCATGGTGAGACTGACATAGGTTTAAATTCTATATATTATACTTTATAGCTCTATGACCTTGAATGATTTACTTTAAATTTTTCAATCTATTTTTTCATATGAGATATAAAGATGAAAATAGTTATGTCTCAAAGCTAATGTGAGTAAAATATGAAACTAGGTCTATTTAATATCTAATACATTATATTCCAAAAAGCAGATACTTAATCCATGTTAGCTGTCCTTCTTTAAGTTATTAGAGTAGAAGTGAAGAATTTTATTTACTAAATTAGAATAAAAGGCATAATTATGTGATACTAAGTTGTAATGTATTCTTATTGAGAAGTGCCTGTCATCTATTATTTTTGTTCTTTCCCAATTCTAATTCCATATATTTTTCATTTCTAAAGGAAATGACAGTTTTGCAAGAAATTGCCTGAAATCTTGTGTTTAAATAACTTGCTGGTAGATGCTTGTCACACCTGTTTATTATTCTCCGTCCTGAGCACATAGCTCAATTACATTCCCCAATTACCCCTGTGGTTTTTGTTTAGCAGAAAATAATGGGCACAGAATTTTCACACTCGCCCCAAATTCTTCTCTGTGTGATCTCTTTTCCTTTTTGTGTTGGCTGGGATGAAGATGATCACAAAAGCATTCCTGGAAGTCTTACGTAGAATACAGTAGAGTAATCAACAGAATACTGAGAAGTAACGTACGACTGCAGGGCTACAACATCAAAGGTACTGCAGCTTCTACCTTGGCTGGTCTCTTGGATTGCTACCAAGGAGAAGCTAGTCATTTCACCATGATGATACTACAGGAGGTGTATGAGGAGGAGAAGCGAAGTTTTTTGTCAACCACCGGCATCATTTTGGCAGCTATATGAATGAGCCAAATTTCTCCAAGCTTTCAGTCCCACCCAATGAAGTCTTCAGATGACTACAACCCCAGACTATATCTGACTCTTCATAAGAAACTCTTTGCCAGAATTGCCCAGACAAGCTACTGCCTAATTCCTGACCCACACAAACTGTAAGAGATAATAAATGTTTTTCTTTTTTAAGCCAAAAACAAAAGAACTCTGACCTCTACCTCCCTCCAACCATACGTAAAAACTTAAATAAATCACAGACAATCATAAAGAAAAATATTAACAAATTAGAGTTCATAAAAATTTAACTTTCGCTCTTCAGAAGACATTTTCAGAAAATGAAAAGGTCACCTACAGAATGGGAGAAAATATTTGCAAAACATATCTAATAAAGGACTTTTATCAGTACGTATAAAGAAATCTTGAAAATCAAGAGAAAGACAAATAGCCAAATTTTAAAATGCCTAATAGACTTGAATAGACTCTTGCCCAAAAAGATAAACAAGTGGCAAATATCATATGAAAAGATGGACAACATCATTACTTGTGGGAGAAATGCAAACTAATATCACAAAATACCACTATATATCCACCAGAATGGCTAAAAATTTTTCAACTGACAATGCCAAATGTTGATAAGGTATGGAGCAACTGACTCATATGTTGTTGATAAGGATGGAAAATGGTACAGTTTGAAATACAACTTAGTGATTTCTTATAAAGTTAAGCATACGCTTACTGTTAAGATCTAGCTAGTGAACTCCTAGGTTTTTACCCAAAATAAATGAAAGCACATATTCACCAAAGACTTATACTCAAATATTCATAGCAGCTTCATTGCTAATAGCCAATAACTAGAAATGCAAAGGTCACAAACTAGTGACTAGATAAACAAATTGTGGTATGTCTTATAAGAGGTTACTACTCAGCAATAAAAAGGAACCAAATACTGACACAACATAGATAAATCTCAAAAGTACTACACTATGTGAAGATGCCATATACAAAGACTGTACTGTATGATTTCTTCTATATGAAATTGTAGCAAAGGTAAACATGGCAACAGGAAACAGATCAGTGGTTCTCAAGGACTACAGGTGAGGGGAAAGGATGACCTCTAAATGGTATGAGGGAAGCTTTTTGTGTAATGGAAATGTTTTATATTATGGTTCTGTTAGTGGTTATACAGCATTTGTCAAAAGTCTATGAACTATGCACTATAAACAGTTATATTCCATAGTACATAAATTATATTTTCATAAAGTTTTTTTAATGAAACACTTAGAATAATGTCTAGCATACATAAGCACTCAATAAATATTAGCTAAAAATAAATATTATTTTTATGGCAATCCAAGATGGAAATGGTTTCATAGAGAGAAAGACTGAGAATTTTAAGATGCTTTTTTCAAAGATGATATAAATTCAGAAATTTTAATAAACCCTACCCTGTTAGCAGATAATATAAGGGCTTAAAGTAAAGATCTGTCATTAAGCTCTAGATTCTACAAAAAGAGCACCGAGCACACAGCCAAGTGAAGTATGACTCTCATGAGGTTGGTTAGTATCTCTCAGCAGCATCCAGGTAGAAAACAGAGCAGATATCTCACTATTTCAAAAAAGCGAGTGGTTAAGTGTTACATAAGGCAACAACAAAAAAGTCAGCAGTGAATAATGTCACATGAGAAGTAGGACATAACATTTCACTGAAACTCTAATAGCACTTGAGAGAATTTGAAACTTCTCATCAAACACTTCAAAACTACTTCAAAAAAAATAGGAAGCAAAACAGCAAAGTGAGGCTGTCAAATTAAAGCAGTTGCATAAGTGGCACTGGGGACTATACAACCAAGAAACCCAATGAACCAAATTCTCTTTGCATCTAGCAGAGCCTAGCCTGAGAGGGGCAGAGACTAGGGGTACCCCCACCCCGCTCCCACATCATAGCGTGGGCATGCCCATGCGCACACACCTTTGAGGGCTGTAAGGAAGCAACTGTATAAAGAAAGGGGACTGAATAAGTGTCTCTGCTCACCCTCTTCTGCTTCATCTTCCTGTGGTGACACAGGGCCCCCTCCACTAGTAGGAGTGATGGGTTCCTCCTTCTCAGACTCTCGTTGTAGACTCACCACCTCATAGATTGCATCTCCAGCATTGGTGTGGCCTTTTCCCTCAGACTGAAAAACAGAGAGACACGTGTTTCAATATGAGAAATGTGAAGGAGACACTGTGTTTCGATGGTCCATTTAAAAGAGCTGAAATGAAAAGCAGCATGCCATGCTTGAAAAAATTTTGGAAGTGCTCTGTTCTTTGCATGATATTCTTATAGCATCACGTTAACCAATACAATGAAAGCTGCTGACCATTTGGGGAAAACTCGATCTTTTTTATCATAAAAACCTGAGACAGCACAGATTCTAGGGCAGGCAGGTAAGCAAGTGTTGCTAGATTCTTAGGACTGACTACCTCGCACTGAGGTAAAGAGATATCAGCTATATCCATCAACTAATTCATGGAAGTAGATAGTTTCTACCCTATAAATGGTTTACATTCTAAATGGCTTTTTTTAAGAAGAAAAAACTAAGGCAACTGCCAATTAATTAACCAAATATGGCCTACAAAGCCCTAGATAAACTGCTTCCAGCCTCATCTCACACCTAAGTGTGTCACCACATTCCATCCACTCTGGCCTCCTTTCAACTCTGGGAACCTTTAAATTCTCTCCCAGCTCAAGGTGTGGGGACAGCTTTTTCTCTCTGCCAATAGAACTTTCCCTCCTACTCTTTGCTAACCCCCATCAAACTCGGATCCTTTCACTTCTACAAAGAATCTAACCTGAGTTCCCTATGTTCTGATTTTCATCATACCCTGTTCTTCCTCCACTGCACTCACCACAGGTAATTACACATTTATTATCATACTCACTTATTTAATGGCCGTCCTGCCCACTGGACAGTAAGCACCATAAGGACAAGGACTATGTTGATTTTCAATCAGAAATAATACGGTACCTGACACATAGTTAGGTACTAAACAAATATCAGTGGAATGAATGAATGGCTGGTAATGATTACCTTCTTCCTTCACTAAAAAACAAAAATTATGTATACTACCTACTAACACTGCCTAATTTAGGGATGTCATAAAACCCCTAATTTTATTCATTTAATATTAAGATAACTTTATAACCTTGCTGATAAGTCAAACAATATACAGAGTGGGGCGAAAATAGGTTTACAGTTTTAAGTATGCGAAACACAAGTTTATTCTTGTATTATTATTTGTTAATTATTGTATTATTTTCCATATGAACAACTGTAAACCTACTTTTGCTCCACCTTGTACTCATAGAATATTGTAGATAGAAATAACTATGACAAGTAGTCAGATATTACTTGAATATTTATTCATTTTAACTTTATAAAGGTACAATATTTCTGTGTCCTGTCATTTTGGTTTTAATTATCATATATAAAAGAAAGAAAAGTTGTTTTAGGTACAGAATCAATATTTCTATTAAGTATGTTGATACTTTAGAGGTACACATTACAGGTTCCTAGGGGGGGAAAGTACATAGTTATTACACTAGCTGTTTTTTTAGCTTATATAACCTAGATGTGGATTTTTCAAATACTCTATTGGTTGACTCCAAACATCATTTAATTAGAGAAATTTTATTGCTTTTTATTGCAACTTAAGGAACTATCTTGGCACTTAAAAATAATGATAGAAAAAATATATCATATGAAAAGAAAAAAAAGGTCCTACCTGTTTCAACCTCATGAAGAAAGTCTCCGTGAAAGTCTTTCTGCTGAAATACCAGAATCGCTCATTTGCAGGGTACACACGCACCACTGTCTCCAGGAGAAAGCGGACGGGCTCCACCACCTCCGTGACTACCATATCCACTGCCACAGTCATGTACACTCGTTTATCTGCAGCAGAAATTGTCTGTGTTTTATGCTGGCTTTATTATTCCTTCATGATTTAAGAAAACAGTTTCCTCACTTATGAAAGAACTAAGGTTCTTTATTATCATGTTACCTTCTACATTTAATTTTAAATGTTTTACTGTCACTTTGATTAAACTGGTAACCAAGCATTCCAAGTATGTTTCTCAACACACAGGACCTATTTTAATCAGCTGTCCAAATCTCCTTGGACAACTTTAATGTTTTTCTTCCCCAATTCAGGTCTTACTATAAAAAATAAATAAAATTAAAATTTCAGGATGTGTTTTATACTAAAACTAGCCTTCAGATTTCTGAGAAAAACCTCTGGAAAAATCACAAAGGCTTGCTCTTTCATCTCATAAAAAGAGATACTAGAAATTATGTTTGTTTGTTTGTTGAGTTGCTTGGGAAAGATCGTCAAATCAGAAGACCTGCTCTACCTTCACTATGTTAAATTTGCACAGGAAAATGTTATTAAAATGACTATTTCAACATTATATGCTCTACAGGAATTCCTTGGAGACTTGTCAGTTAGCTCCCTCATTATCCATAATATATATTAATCCTCCGGAAAATCACTGATCCAAGCTCAAGTCAAACAGTTTGTGGGTTTTCATATATACTATATGTATCTCAGAGTCCTGGCAAGTGCTTTTAGAGAACAACACTATGTGTTACAGTAAAAATTTCAGTTACTATTTAAAATGTTTACTTGGCCGCAGCTTCCTTTAATTTGAATCTAGAATCTTCTAGGCCAGTGGCTACTGGTCTTCCACTGTTTCATAATGATATGCTAAAATATGGATTTCATTTTCTTTTATTTACCCTGCTTCAGATTCATTGGGGTTTTTTAATCTGTGGCTTAGTTACTCCATACCATTTTGTCATTTCTTCATTACTTTTAATTTTTTTTTTTTTTAATGTACTGTACCCACCACTTTTAGCTCTGAGTTAGAGGGAAGATCAAATAGCCAAGCCCATTAAAAGAAACATTCAATTGTGTTTTTTAAAAACATTTTACAACATTTATATGCATCAACCACATGCCTATTAATATCAAACTCAACAAAAATTGTATTACATTCTTACTAAATACACACATTCTGCTGCCAATTCAAGAGAAAGTGGGACTCTCTAAATACTGCACTTGACCTAAAAGACCTTAAAGTCTAAGGGAGTAATGTAGAGGGGTAAGACAGAGTAACACAAAACATAGACTGTAATACACAACTTGGTACAGTGAAAATATCCAAGGCATTTTCTCTCCCAGGCTCTCAACTTCTATAAAAATCAAAACTGTAATTCATGAATCTCCTGAATAATGTATAATATCAAGTACACCATTTGAAAATTTTAGAAATCAGGTCAACATTTTGGATTTGCATATGAAATCATTTTAAATTTAAAATACATTATCTTTTGGGTCAAAAGATTATTGTAATACAGTATTACATGAAGTTTGTTTTAATAAAACAAATTTTAAAATATATTCTTTTGATGATTAAATGTGCATTAAAATACAAAATGAAACTGAACTATGTGTTACATTAAAAACATATCAAAACTGCTTTATTTATTTTTTGAAATTCTGATATTTTATTCTTCAAAATTTTTCTCATTTTTGTGTTTTCTTTCTGAATGATTTTAAGAAAGAAGTTAATAGACTGGTATTTATAAGTCTGTCTCCAGAAATAGAGAACTGTGGCTGTAAAAATTATTTATCCCTAATATATGAAAAACTAAATTTTATATAATCATTATTTTTTCCCTCTTTTTAGCCCTCAGTATGAAATAGCTTGATGTGTGATCAAATGCATGCAATTTATGGGACTAGAAAAGACTCAAGAAAATTTGAGAGTAATTATCATTTGAATGTTCTTCATTAATATATTATACTTCCATATCAGTATTCATTAATGCTCCTGTCTTGAACCAAAAGTCTACTGTGGGTATAAACTAAATAATGTAAGAATAAGAGTAAAAAAAAACAAAAAACAGATCCATCATTTTCTCAATATAAATTATTGGCTGAATGGTTGAATGATAGTAAAGAATTTAGTGTAAGATTATAAGTCATAAGCTAATTAATGTTAGTTTGAAAGCAAACGGTGGAGTGGCAAAAAAAACAGGCAATTAACATATCTGGGGAAAGTAGGAATAAAAATAACCAGTGGGAAAATGACCACTGTGACTATATGCCATTTATAAATTCTGTTCAACACTAGCCATGTTAAACAAAACAAAAATGTAAACAAGGAAGAAAGGGTTTGTCACAAATGAAATCCTTGCTACACACTACTAGGATCTAAGCTCCCAAAGGTCAAAAGACTGGAACAAAAAATGTAATAAATGAAAAAAAATAAGTAAACTATAATTTTTTTTTTTAATCCTCACCCAAGGATATTTTTTCCATTGCTTTTCAGGGAAGGGGGGAGGGGGAAGGGGGAGAGGAAGAGGGAGAGAGGGAGAGAGGAAAGAGGGAGAGAGGAAAGAGGGAGAAAAAGGGAGGGGAGAAAAGGGGGAGAGGAATTACCATTCTTTTGCAGCATGGTGTCATTTGAATGTTGAAATTAACACTGAAGATGGTCACTTAAAATTGGTGAGAGTTGTATGTAGAGTACTTCTTGCAATTTAGACTTAATTTTTTAACTTTCAGCAAGGAGNGGGGAGGGGGGAGAGAAACATCGGTTTGAGACACACTGATTGGCTGCCGCACACACTCGCCCCAACCAGGGCCAGGGATTGAGCCTGCAACTGAGGTACATGCCCTTGACCGAAATCTAACCCGAGACCCTTCAGTCCTTGGGCCGATGCTCTAACCACTGAGTGAAGCTGGCTAGGGCATAAGCTATAATTTTTGAAGTTAAAATACTTATCAAAGATATAAACAATTTCAGAATTTGGTTTCATCATTTCTTTCATATTCTTCCATCATTTCCCCCAAATAAAACAACTCTATAATAATAAAACACAAAACACAATGCAGCCAGCATGGCTCAGTGGTTGAGCGTTGACCCATGGACCTGGAGGTCACAGTTTAATTACCATCAGGACACATGCCCGGATTGGGGGCTCGATCCCCCAGTAGAGGACGAGCAGGAGGCAGCCAATTGATTCTCCTTCATCACTGATGTTTCTATTTCTCCCTCTCCCTCCCTCTCTCTGAAATCAATAAAAACATATTTTTAAAAAAAAAAGAAAAAGATTTAGCATGTTTTAATGCATTATACACATTAACTTAGAATATTATTTTCCCTGCAATGGACCATTCTTCTTATGCTAAAGAAATAGTGTTGGATGTAGAAATGCAAAATGAATAGTAAGAAAACTGTATCAGATGTGTTTATTGTGCATAAAAAAAATCTATTAATGAAAAAAATAACTCCATTTTAAATGAGTACCAGATTTTTCTTAAAAAAAAAAAAAAAATGGCAAAACAATGTTGTCCATAATGTAAAATTTTAAGCAAATAATAAGGACTCTTTTAAGAAAATTTACCTTTTGGAGTTTCTTCATTAAGTGCTAGAAATATGGGTGCATTGGGGTTCCACATGCCGGTAATAACATAAGCCCTCCCATCATAGCTCTTTCCCATGGATTCCTGTGAAAGTTCAAACAGGATTATATACATCAAGAAAATCACCACTTCAATTAATAAATGTATCTTACTTTAAACAATCAAATTTACTAAAATTTGGATTTACAATCAAAAGGGGGGTTTATTTTCTCTGTAATTTTTTTCACCCTACAAAAACATTTCTTTAAATATTAAATTCTCCTACAGCTTTCTTCAAACAGAGTTTCTATTTAGAGACACGGACCTCTTGAATAAAAGAGGTATACTCTTCCCTGCTAAATCACAAAAATGTAATATTGCTATGAAGTTATACTTAACTTGATCTTAGGCTGGTGTCAAAATCTCATCTACTTACGCATACAAGGATGTATGTAGTTGCTATGAAAACTATAGTACAGATCTCACTGAAGAGAGTTAAACTGAATTGATAGTTAATCACAGGAAAAGATAGTACTTTTCTCTGATGATCTAATTTTAATATACTCTTAAAATGTTAATTTACTTTGTCACGATCAATACCTTCAAAGTGAATACTTTCCTACTATGTATGTCAGATATTTATACACTTTCTTACAATCATAAATCAATATTAGGAGACTAATACTGGTTTGTAAGCAACATGGAAGCTTATTGACTATCTTCCTCCACCTCTACACTCACTCACTCCTTCCCTCTCTCCTCTCCCCCTCCTTTTCATTTCCTCTACTCTGTAAGACTTTTACCTAGCCACCTCCTGACTCACACTACAGAAGCCAGCAACTCACTATACTGAGAGTAAGACCACATATAGTTGTGTGCGTGTGTATGTGTGTGTGTGCTGGGGTGGGTAGGTTAAAGGTTGTACCATGGGAAAATGGCACACAGAATACAAACATGTGCATATGCAAAAAGGAATAGTATCTACATACAGTACTTTCAATTTTCTGTACCAATTTCCTGTTATAAATAGAGCTCCAAGGGTCAGACTAAACAAAAACTTTTTTTCAAAATTACATATGCTTTTCTGAATCCCTATAAAATTGTTTCAGTCATTTGATAACTACTATGTATATTTTTCTGGTACATTGGTGATATTTCACTAATCAGATTGCATAGCTTGAGTGCAAAGACCACATTCAATGAAATACACTCAAGGTCATGTAAAGGAAATTCAGTACCTCCAACACTCATACATTCATATTCTCTTTCTCTCCCTCTCCCTCCCTTCTCTCTCCCTTATTCTCTCTCTCTCCCCTCTAATTAGACCCTCATTCTGAACAAGAATGGACATCTAACACCCCCCCCCAAAAAAAAACAATGCATCTGTGGACAAGAACTGCACTATGCTTGAGTCCAAAGAGAAGAGCTAGACCAATAAAATTATTTATTTCAATTGACAAATACAAAGGAAGTGGGCAGATAAAAGTAGGGCTGAAAAGGTTTGATAACAAGTCAGGTGATGACAGGTCACATATAAAATGAAGTTAGCCTGGCCGGCATGGTTCAGCGGTTGAGCATCGACCTATGATCCAGGAGATCAAGGTTCGATTCCCAGTCAGGGCACATGCCAGAGTTGCAGGCTCAATCCCCAGCAGGGGGGGGGGTGTGCAGGAGGCAGCCAATCAATGACTCCCTCATCACTGCTGTTTCTCTCTCCCTCTTCCCCCTTCCTTCCTCTCTCTGAAATCAATAGTGATATATTTTTAAAATAAATAAAAAATAAAATGAAATTAAAAAATAAAATAAAATGAAGTTAGATGATAGAAGGAGACTTGACTTGGGTGGTGAACACACAGTACAACATATAAATGATGTATTATAGAACTGTACCCCTGAAACCTATATAATTGTATTAATCAACATCACCCCAATAAATTCAATAAAAATTTAAAAATAAATAAAATCAAGTTAGATATGTCATGATAACAAACTATATGGTAGGGAAAATAGATATAGAAGAGCAGAGTATGAGGAAATTCCTAAATGTTAGGAGAGAAACGGAGAAAACAATTTTTTAAATCTTTTAAAATAATTAATCACGCAGTCAAAAAACAAAAGCAAATATTGGGAGGCAGGGAGGGAGGGAGAAGTGAAGAGAGAGGCAGAGGAGGGACTGGGAGGGAGAAAGGCAAGGAGGGAAAAGGGGAGGAGAGAGTGGGTAGAGAGAAGGAAAGAAAGGCAAGACTTTCAAAGTTTGTCAGAATAAAGTGTAAGAAGGTAAAATCTGTTTTCAAAAGTATTCAAATATTTGGACATGTCATCAAAGACACAGAAGTATAACGTCTTGCTCTAGGGGGCAGAAATACCACAAATTAGGCCAAGTTACAAGGAATATGATACAAGGTGATTACAAAGAAATAACTTTGTAATAACCAGCACTGTCCCATAGTCTTCATTATAAAGTAACGAGTTCGTTTTTATTAGGTGTAGTCCAGTCAAAGCTCAATAACCATGTATTAAGACGGTATGAAGATTAATAGCACTGGGTAATAACCAGTCACAATTGTTGATAACTGCAAATGCTAACCCTCCCACCTGACCAACTATTAGTTGTATAGGTCAGCCCACTTCTCTCTCCAGGGGCTTCAATGCTGACAAGCAGTTTGATTTCAACATGGACTCTTAAAGGTGGAGGCTGCACAGCAAGGAAACACACAAGGCGCCTCAGCAGTTCATGCCAGGCCTGTAATTCTACAATCTGAACTTAAATTTATGGGAAAATCTCTGCCAGTGATTCATCTTAATCTCTTAAACTCTGAAAGACCGTGACTAGTTAAGACCTAGAAGCTTCTAAGTGTTTAATGGCCCTGAACTACCTCCTCATGGAGTTTCCAGGGCTCGAAATGCCCTGGATTGCCTTAGTAAAAGCACTTGCATTACTGCTGTGCTGTAAAGAGGGATGGAGGAGAGAGGGATCAATAGCTAACATGTTTGCACGTTCACTGTAACTGGTTGTCTTCACCTGACCTATCCATACGGTTCTTCGTCTATATTTCCGTGGCTCATTGGACCAACTCAATGAGAGCACTTAACCCATTGCTCTAGTTTTACAGACTTATAAGGCTTGTTTCTATCACAGGACTAGGTTTCCAACCTACAAATGTTAAGAGCTGTGTTCTGCCTTATCTGCAACCCCAGCACTTCACACAATGCTTGGCACACAATTAGGAGCTCAAAAAGGCTGACTAAACCATTCCAGTACCACTAGAAAGTCAATGGGATGTCACCATGAAATAAAGAAAAAGTTGACATAATTGGTAACATTTATCTGACATTTGCAAAACACAGCTGAAAGGGAAAACACATATAGTACTTGTTATCACTAAATATAAAAACTGCAGTGAACTAAGCAAGTTTTATGTTTACTCTAAGATGATCATTTCCTATAACATTTTAAAATCGCAAAGTAAATGTTTTCATTAACTGCAATATTGGAAGGTATTTCTGTTTAAAAGTTAAGATAGTTTGCTATTTTTGCATCAAATACCAACTCTTAAATATATATTGACCTTTAAGGGCATTCCTGAAATAAATACCACTCCCATAGTAAATATACTTTGGTAAGGACAGATAATTAAGGAGGAGAAATTCAGAAAGGGAAATGCTTTTAAGAAAATAAAAGCATCCATCATAGAACTCAAATTAATAACAGTGCATTAAAATAAATAAAAGGTACCATATTCGCTCTGGATATGCCTGTTATAATCATGTACTTGCTATTTTTAACTCAAGGAAAAGACATCCTCCTAAGAAGCCAAACAAATGAATTGTCATAACACTGTCCTTTTGCTTTCAACTTGCATATGATGTTTTGGTGGAAATTTTCCCCAATCTCTCCCTCATAGGTAATTTTAAGTGTAGGTTTTCAAATTTCATTATTACTATCATAAAGCTGAATGTTAGAAACAATTTTCCCAATATGACATAATTTTAAAACAGAAAATACTTTAAAAATATAAAATAACTATCATCTATACTTGGTTAAGATGTTTAAGGTTATCATTACCATATCCAGTAAATGCATGTCACTGTTCTTCACGTTTCGACCTGGGCTTAATAACATTCCAAAACATCTGAAAATTTGGGGGGGAAAAGGAAAAATAAGGTATCAAGAATATATAGAAGCCCAGTGAGCAAAAAGTCTTTTTATAATAACTATACAATCTGAGCTCTGTACTTATAGCTTTCTTTTTTTAAAAGAAACAGCACAAATAAGAATTCATTAAGATACATAATAAAAATCACACAGAAATAAGTTATCTAAATTCCCAGATTTTACTTTTGCATGCAAAAGATTACCAATGATCAGAAACTGTGATTTTTTAAAAATGGCCACAAAACTGTTGATTGAAACAGAATATAGTCGTGAGATATGAATTTGTTTCTAGGTAGAAATGAGATTTTATTTACCTTAAAATTATACCAAATATATAGGTCAAGATCATCTAATCCAGTTAAATTAAAAAGGAGATTTAAAAAAATAAGACACTGTGCTCTCCCTTCGCATCAAGTTACGTTAACAGAAACAATTACCCTGGCCCTCACCAGTCATGTTCACTGAGTAGTTTATTAAAACTATGTGCTCAGTTTGAAGGGGGAAAAAAAGTTATATGAAGCACATTACTAAAAGTACTATTATATTAGTGAAAATATTATCCAATGTACTATATACTATTAATCATTTACTTTATTCCATGATTCCTGTCTCTAGAGAAGTGTTGGAAATCCCACAGACACTACCCCTTTATTTGTAAAGGTTTTTCATAAGCTCCAAAACTCAGCTAAATCTATTATTTTTTATTTGTAAGGATATTATTGTTAATTCTGCTTTATAGGGAATAAAGGTAAAGTCCTGAGAGGTTAAACGATATACTCAAATTCATGTGGCTATTCCACAGGTCTTGTTACTCGAGAGGGAATGTGATCTGTCCACAGTGTCCTTCTGCCAACAATGCATACACACACTTACTAGAGTGTTTTTATTGCAGCTTTCCAAAATTTAAAAATATGCTATGGAGCACTTTATACGGGAGTAGAGAATGTAAATCAATTAAATATGAGGTTTTTCAAATTTTAAAATAGTGGCAGCTAACCAATCAATGTTTAATATGATCCTTGCTGTTTCCCAAAGGTTTACTTTTCTAGTAGCACTGGCCATTTTTTCCCCCATGAACAAGGTAAGTGATTGATCCATCCAAATATCAGCTCAGTAAGTAGAAAAACAATATACATTTCCTGTGAGTACTTTAGGATATTTTGCTCAGGGCTCCCTTTGGCATCCGAAAACAATCAAGTACATAACGAAGATAAAGTCAAAAAGCTCTGAGGATAACTTTCCAAGCATGTTATTGCATCACTGAACAAAATATAATCTTATATAGAGAAAATTATACTCTAATAGTCATAATTGTAATATGATCATTATTTGATCTCTCTGCTATGAACTACTATAATAAACACTGTCTGTATAAATTAAATGTTAATTAATTATGCAATGCACTGCCCTACTTCCCCTACTGTTGCCTTAAATTTTTGATAAGCAAAAATAAAAGTTAATTCTTTTCAATATGACATTTGGTCCCCCAACTAAAAAGTCAGGTCAACAAAGACAGAAGGTTTGTCTCAAATTCCATACATAGCAGTCCCCCCTTATCCACTGAGGATTCATTCTAGGACGCCCAGTGTATACCTGAAACCACGGATAGTGCCAAACCCTATATATATTGTTTATCCTGTACGTGCATACCTTTTCACTTAAAGGATGCACCTTAAGGCTTCTCTCTGGCATATCCGAATTGTCAACATCATTACTCTTGTGCTTTGGAGCCATTATTAAGTAAAACAATAATGGATGACTTGAACACAAGCACTGCAATATCTCAACAGAAGATCCGAAAACCAAGATGGCACCTAAGTGACTAACAGGCAGGGAAAGTATATGGCCTGATTTTGTCATGTTACTCAAAACAGCACATAATTTAAAACTTATAAAATGTTTATTTCTAGAATTTTCCATTTGATATTTCCAGAGCACTGTTGACCACAGGTAACTGAAACCACAGAAAGGAAAACTGAGGATAAGAAGAAACTACTGCATATTTTGCTTCAGCTTTCATCAATCATGGATTTTGTAAAGAACAATTCCCTATATTATAGGGTTTTTAAGTTATAAAACTATTATATACTCATTGTAAAAAGTTAATGAATTCCAAAATATACAGGAAAAAATTAATTCTCCCTTCTCTCTCTCAGCCCCCTTAGAAACCAATGCTAACAGTTTAGTAAGCATCCTCCATATCTTTCTTTCGCTCTTTTCAAAAATTTGAAATCATATTATTTTGTCTGTCTAGCACTTGCAGGTAAATGGTACAATTTTATATTTCTTTAATATGATATTCCTATATTAAGCTCTATTGTAAAAGGAGTCTTGGAAGTTTAGGTATTCCTTAGATAGCAACACATATTACCTTATTTTGATGATCTTTGATACACTGTTCTTTTTCTTGGTTATAAGAAAAAAATTGTGCCACCAACTAGCAGTGTGACCTTACAGAAAGACCCAACCCCCTTGGGCCTCTGCTTCGTCTTCTAGAAAGTGGGAGAAGTGTAATAGATACACTCTAAGAGTTCTTCCAGCACTAAATCTGCACAAATTCTTTTCTATCAAGCTGTATTAGTCATTTCCAAAATTATACTTCATTAAAGCACATGAGTTTCCTATGGGGAGAGCAGAGTCTATTAGGAATAATGTGTCAGTAATTAGATAGATATTATTATTACTACAAACACCTAAGGCAAATATTAAGTGTTTCACTGGGGAGTTCAAAGCATTCAACCTTCACTTATTAACTCTATAAATAATGTAGAAAGCAAGTTGCTATCACACCTATTTTCTCAAGGAGCTCACAGGCTAGTAGGGGACGAAAATAAGTAAACAGGCAATTCCAGCCTGATATGGTGAGTTCTCTGATAGCTGCTAAGTGTAGAATGTTAACAAGCAAGTGGAGACCCAACATTATTTACAGTATAGTAAGTAGCTGACCTGACCAAAATTCGAAATCAACACTTCTGAGAATAAGATGATATAATCAGATTAATTATGCCAGCTACTGTTCATTGAATGTCTTAACTGTAAGTCAGACATTACTATATTGTTACATTTATATTTCAAAACAACCTTCTAATAACCTAATAATAAAGCTGGTTTTCAAAAAGTAGAACTGATTTGCCCAAACCACACACCTATTAAGTCATAACACTAGTATTCAAGCCCCTGTCTGTAACTCCAAAACCGCATGGTCTTTTACACATTATACTCTGGCGGCCCCCCTCGCCTATCGGTAGAACAGATTATAAATTCTCTGTGATCCTGGGCAAGTCACACACTTCAAAGTCTCACCACATTTCTGATACCATTATTACCTGTTCACTATGTTAATGTAAAGTTGAAATGAAAAAACTCATGGTGGATGCACACTGCAAACTACAGAGCCGTGCCAATTATAAATTATTATTACAATTATCACTGTTAATACAAAGAGAAAGTTCAGCCTTCCATAATACCTAGCGAGTTTTTACTCAAAACAGAGTTTTAAAGAGCTTTTAACACCAAGTTAGCACCCATACCAAAACCAAAAACTCAGTAGCACAGCTTTAAACTTAACAGTGGAAAAATAAGTGAGAAAAATAAAGATATGTTAATGTACTACAATAGGAAACTAATTTTTTTTTTAATTTTGCTTTTTATCCCCCAAATCATTAGGGTTCTATATACCTCCATGAACACTATGGATTAAAAAATAAGAGAGGAAAGAAACAGAAAAGGAGGCAGGCATCTTACTAGACCAAACTTTTATTATTAAAAATGACAGAAGAGGCAAACAGAACTACAAACAAGAAAAGCTATAACTCAATCATAGTTTTTTAGAACAATGTATAAAAACTCCAAATAATTTCATAAAAATTGGAATCCCAGTTAGTTTCAATCTAAAGAATTTAAAGCAAAACATAGTTAGAAAAGTCTCCTACATAAAATTGTTGGGGTTGTTTTTGCCTTACTGAAGGAATCAAGGAGAGAAAGACATACAGGCTTCCTCACTATGCACAGTAGTGTGGAACACGATAACCTTACAAACTGGAACTCTGCAAAAGTGATCTTATAATCCATGGGGGAAAATATGACTTTTCTGTGACCTTTAAATACTGGTAATGACAAATTCTAGAGCATGACCACAGAAGTAGGCGGCTGAGGTAGGGAAGAGGGCAAGATCTTGGGACAAGCAGAGATCAAGAAACTAAGAAGCTAGACTATTAGAAAAATCATCTACACAGATGTTAAAACTGCCCAAAATTAAGATAAGCCTAACAACTAGAGAGCGGCAGTAAGCCAGGAGCTAAATCTTCAGGGAATCCCAAGGATTTGTAGATAACTGCAACGAGAGAGGTGAGAAGACAGGAAAGCCCAAGAGCATGGATTTTGAAGCTGGGAATTTTTAAGAAGCAAAGGCACGCAAGAAAGATGCTTACACACCTCCAGGCCAGAGGTACAGGCAGTGGGAAACAGCCATCATCTGAAAGTGCTGTTTAAGGGCAGCAGTGGACTCAGGCGAAAGCCAGGTCCTATAAAGTAAAAGTGACATTCAGAAGCACGGTGGAGAAAAGGAATTGTGCTGATGATGAGCTATGAGTTCTGGAGTGTAGAATGGAATGGTTTAGAAAATTGGGCCAAGGCGGAAGATGGGTGTCAAATGGGGGCGGATATACAGAGCCATGTGGGGATTAGAATCTGAGTATTAATGGAAAACCCAGGAGTCACGGGCTTCTTATAAGGCCTAAGAAAACAGGCAAAATAGAAATAGATTATTTCAGTGAAGCTGGGAAAAAGGACCTTAGCAAGAGCATGCAGAGATCTGGAGTACCCTGCTTCACTCCAGTTTTGGACAGCTTCAGTATACAAGTAAAGGGAGGGGCAGTATTACCAGAGGAATGTGGGGGTCTGGGTACCCTCTTACTATTATTGATGGGGGCTAGGAAGGGAAATGGAATACATGAGTGTGGAGGAGGTTTTACTTTA